GAGCTGGAGTAGACCATTCGGCCCCCCGAGCCTGCCCCGTCATTCAATAAGATCATGGCTGATCTATTCTAACTCCACCTACCCGCCTTGTCCCCATATCCGTTAATCCCTTTATCTACAAGAAATCTATCAATCTCAGTCTTGAATATGTTCAAGGACTGAGCATCTACAGCCCTTTGGGTTAGAGAATTCCATAAATTCCATAAATGATTCCATAAATCATGGAGTTAATGACTAATTTTATTGGGGGATTGTTGGCCAAAACACCAGGAGAACTTTCTTCTCATGGTGCCATGGAATCTTTTGATGTTCACTTGAAAGGGCAGATGGGTCTTCGGTTTAACGTCTTATCAGTTAGACGGTACTTCTGACAATGCAACACATTCTAGCACTGCATTGGAGGCTCAGCATAAACTATGTGTGTTCCAAGTCCCAACTTGGGGCTTGAACTCACAACCCTTTGACTCAGAGTTGCGAGTGCCACCAACTGAGCCAGGCTGACACAGCAATGGATTTAAGGAAAGTTTGGCTGAAATTTATATTAGTTTTCACTATATCAACAGTACTTCAACGTGGTAACCAACTGTGGAAAGACATCTACATTTATGGAGAGACTGGGGATCAATAATGAATTAACCATCAGAAAAACAGAATTGGATCCAATTTGATACAAGGATAGAAATATAGTTATTGTGATTCCAGTCTTTATAAAGATCAGATCATTATGCTGGACATGGTTTAGAGTTGTATAGAATATTGATTTGAGATTGTGTCGTTTAAGGTTCATTTAATTGCCTGGCTGTATAATGCAGATTTAAAAAACAATAATTTTTAATGTAAGGTTTCTTTATTAGGTCACAAATTTTGAAATTCTGCATACATTTTATTAACCAAGTCAAAAGCACGATCCAGGGAATCATATCATGTTTTATGTCTGCCATGGGGCATCAATTGGCATCAATCATAAAGAATACAACTCAACAGCATCCATCAAAATAAAGGTAATAAACTCAAACTACATGGATTTATGGAAGGTAGATCATGCATGACAAATACATTGGGGCGTTTTTTAATATAAAGGATATATTTATGGATGAAGCTAATATAGCTCATATGATATTCAGAAAGGACTGGATCAGACTCTTCACACAAGACTAATAAGCATAGTACAAAATAATGGGATCAAGGCACAAGTTGTAAAACTGGATAATGGTTTGGTGAGATAATAAGTAGCAAAGAGTTGTTACCAATGGTAACACAGTAATTATAATTGGGCAGCAAGAATACCATTGGTATTCTCAGGCATTGCATTTACAGCACTTGCTGATTTATTATCAATAACCCTGAAGGGGATATCGTTTAAATTGTGAAATTCAACTTGAGAGGCTCAGCAGGATTTTCCGATAGTCACTATGTGATGACTTTGGGAGTATTACAGCCATGGCTGACCTTACGGTTACCTGATATCAACATGTATACCTTCTAGCGGTGATCTGAAAGGTGAATCCTGCCTGATTTTCACTTCCCAGGAGTGCTGAGGCTAATTGTAGCATTTAACGTTGATCTGGCTGCAATCGGTTAGTTCAGATTATTTGAAACCTTTTGATTTGCCTTGCTTTGTGCTACATTTGGCCAGTGGGGAGCTATAGGCTGGAGTTCTGAAGTCACATTGGCTGGGAAGACATTGAAAGACACATTGAGGTGTTTCTATAATAGAGTGGCAGACAGCAATATCAATCATTTGTTTTAAAAATCAAACTTCGAACCATTCTTGATAAATTTCTTGGCACTTTCGTTCATTTAATGGGTTAAACCTGAGGTTGAGCTAGGTTTGTAAGGAATGAAGATTCTTGTATTTTTCAATGGAAAAAGCGGAAATGTCTCTTGCACATTTATTTGCTTCTCACCCCACTTTTGCAAATGTTCCTCTTTGATGTAAACCAGAAACTCACCAGTTAACTGGCTGCCGGGTTTCACCCATAAAATAGTCAATTCACTTTACAGTATACCCTTTGAAGCATGTTGAGACATCTCAATGATGTGATAAGGTACTATATCAAATGCAAGGATTATTATTATTATTTTCATGTCACAAATATCACACAGATCATTACCACAATCAAGAGCAAGTTATCATTCTGTTCACTTACACTTACGTTTAAGTAGCAAGACAAGAGGACACAGGTTGTGAAGAGCAAATTTAAGATAAATATCAGAAAATATTTATTTACAGAGGATGGTTAACAGGTAAATCGGAATCGTTAATGGGTAAATCGGAAGGGTGGAAGAGACCAGGACACTGGACACATTTAAGAAACATCTGTAATGGGATGACATGAGGGTGGATTTCCAGTAAAGATTAAATGATGAGAAGCCATCTTCACATGATCCTCTCTGTGTCTTCTGCACTCTTGTCCTCTGTAGTTTCTTGAACGATTCAAGCAGCTGTTTAAAACTCTGAATATGATCTTCAGTGATTAATTTGGGTACTACTTTCTTAGTGACACTTTTCATTTCCCTTCCAGTGAAATCCATCCCAGTTTCCAAAACAGCATATCAATCGAGTGTAACCATAATGTGGCACAAATGGTTGAATTTTGGGTGTGACCAAAGTGGAAATATCACTGTAGTTCAAACCACACGAATACAATTCCCATGCAAATAGCAGTGAAAATCCATATAATTTGCATTGAAACAGATATGCTTCACAGGATCTAACTATGTAGAATGAGTATTCTGACATCCATTTGGCATCTTGAGTCTGCACAAGAATATTGAGATCAGGTTTCATTCTTACAAAGCAGAATAACCATTTATTTCAATCTTTCCATCACTCTTTGAAAAATGGCATTATTCAAATATTTTGTGAAGAAGATAGTACGATTTAAATTTCTTCAACTAATTAAAATTTTGCTCAAAAAAACTCAACTCTGTTTTCTTTTAATACAGCACAGTAAAATGTAACTTTTTGAAAAAAAAGGATACATTCGTCCCTTCTGGGAGTTTTCGAAACCAGACATTTTGAGAATTGAGCTGATGGTGATAACCGTGCTTGAAGTTTATCTTGGTTTATCTGGAGTGTGCATTACCTTATGTTTTAAGTTAATGGACATTTCGCCCCCAAAATATAGTCAGTTCACTTTGCAGTATATTATGTGAAGCGCTTTGAGACGTCTTGAAGACGTGATAAGGCGCTAATTAAATGCAAGCATTATTATTTAGTAAAATTATTTAAATACAGAAAACATCATAATGCTAGAAAGTCAATAGAAAATATTCAATAGCTTGCATCCAAATGCTTTTCACCCACAAAATATAGTTAATTCAGTTTACAGTATATTCTGTGAAGCGCTTTGAGATGTCTGAACGACATGATAAGGTGCTATACTACATGTAAGAATTATCATTATTAAGTAGTACATTTTCAAAAGACAATATACATCTGGGTTAAATCCTGCACTTCTGTTAAAACTCCTTTGATAAGTGCTGTTCAACTTGGGCCCAAGTATTTTTTTAAGAACTGCTGAAAACTGGTTTCCAAATTAAAACCAAACTTAATTTTCTACAATTCCGTAAAATCTTAAATTTTAAGATAAAATGGTCTTTTAGGCTAAGACTGGGTGACATGTTGGAGTTTCATAAATGCACAGATCATGAAAAATACATTAGGGTGTCATTTTAATGTTAGATGTGAATAGTTTTTTGTTTAACTCCAATGATATATGGACCGTAGCACAATAGAAAATTTCCCATCAGCTTAAAATAAACAGAAATTCTTACACTGAGGAGTATCACTGTCAAATTATTCTCGCCAATGGATCAGTTCAACATAATATCTGAGATTACGTACCACCATCATACACTCAGAAACATTTAGCTCTCAACTACACAAGGCATAGATATCCATTTGTGGAACACTGCAGTGCATAATTGCTTGCTGCGATTCGCCCACAAAGTAAATTCACGACAGTTTTTTTTCTGTGAAGCGCTTTGAGAATCTTAGCGATGTGATGAGCTGCTATATCAACTCAAGGATTATTATTATACAAACAATAACTTAAAAAGTTGCTGCTTATTCTTTAAATTCTTTAAAGGACATATCTAATGGATTTAAAAGTTTATTTTTTTATACATTTTGTAACGGAAAGGTGTGCATATGGGCTGCAGCAAACACACAAAGTGTGGAGAAATGTTATCAGTTTGTGGACAATTGTATAGTTGAACGACGTGTTCTATTCTCTTGTCCCTATTTATGGCAGTGGACAATGTTCCAGTAGTAGAAGAAGTTGAAATTATGCAGTGCCTGAATTATTCTCGCAAAATATATTTTAACTAAAATAAATTTTAATTTAAAATAACTATTTGCACTTCCCTGAATTCCAAGAATATATACTGGTTTGATTTTGCCAATCATTAAAAAATGGTGAACTTGCTTTTGGCCATTCTATTATGAACAAGCAACAAAAAAGATAGTTAATTTTAGTTTTCGCACACATTGTGGGCTCAAGCTTTATATTATGACTGGTAATTGATAATGTAGGGCTGGTTGACACTTCAGTGCAGTGCTGGGGAGTGTTGCAATGTCGGAGGTGTCGTGAAGTGTATGTGTGTGTTGTGAAGAGAGCTTTATAAATACAAGTTGTTATTTTCCGACAAACAGCAATAAGTCAATTGAGCACATTTGTCCCTTTTTTTGGTGAATGTCCAAATCTATTCTTCTATATGAGGGCCATGTAGCAAATCTGTTTACTTACTGCATCTTACACACAAACTAACTAAAAGAAACATTTTTGAGGAGATTGGAAATCTTCACTTATTCAGTGAAGATCTTTGACACAATTGCTCAGTTACTATATCTTACTTTTGCCCTGTATAGGCTGGTCAGTGCACAGGGTCAGTCTTCTAAACTGGGGGAGCAGAAGAAATATCCATCTGTTTAGATATAATACAGCAATCATTTCAATACCAGTTTCTTAAAGAAAAGACGGTGCTTCAATAAATAAGTATAAATATAGGTTTTATTTAAAATTACAGCTGTAAAAATTAATATTGGGTGTAGGCAAAAGGAATAAATTCAAAGCATGTAAAACGACAGTTAATACAAAATGTTTTGCATTTAACATCGGGAAGTTACAACCGATGCAACAATAGAAAATTATGGCACAAAGTTTACGGTCCGCCCTAATTGGTAGAGAAAGGTTTTGTGGCAGTTATGAAAAATATGACAAAGCGCTGTGGTGTACAAAGAGAATACCACAGGGCATTAAACTCTAAACATTGTTGGAGGGTATGCAAGACCGTACTATCCTGTGCCTGACAAAAATGAGTTAAGGACTTTGAGGTAAATAAATACAGATGAAAGGCACATGCAAGAGGCGTTCAAAAGCAGAATGTAAAATCAATCACTCTCATTTGTTTTTAGCTGCCAGAGGCTTACGGCTGATCTTCTTTGTTTTGTCATTAACTTTCTTCGGAGGTTCGGGATTTGCTTGCATATGTCGACCGTAAAGGCTGCAAGAAAACAGAAGTGACGGTTCAGCAAACGTAGCAATAGTTCATAAGAGGCGAGACAATTACACAAATTGTATTGAGGCAGAAAGACAGAGTGCCCATTTACACCACTGTGAGCTCTGTGCCTAACCAGAAAACCCATGGGGTCAATAAAGTGACAGAGAGAAATGGTGCCACAGGCCTCCTAGGCTATTCCAGCATGATTGATGGCATAGAGATAGCCCATTGCCATCAATGCCACATTAATAAGTACTGCCGATTACATGTTGACAAAGAATCCTGCCATTAAAGTGATCTAGGTTTTGCAGCGTTCAAACCACACTTGCAAAGATTAAAGTTAAATTCAGTTAGTAATTAAAAGGAGTTTAGATTCTTTACCATCATTCCAATTAAACTGCTACAATTAGAAAGCGATTGCAGTTAAAATTTCTGCGAGTGTTAAGACTAATGATTTATAGATACAAGTCTGGCCGTGTTGTGTATTTACTGTATTACTCTGTAATTAACACAGGTTAATTTTACAATTTTTTAAAATTACCAGTAACCTAGCACCTTGATGGCAATTGAAAGCTTTTGTTAGCTTATTTCCAGAACAGATTTCTTTTTGCGGACATCCAATGCATTCAACAAAACATTAAATTTTTTGGAAATTTGAATAATATTAAATTTCAATCGGTGCATTATGTCACAACCGTTTCAAGGACATTTAACCACCTGACTTTTTACTATGCGATCTTCATACCGCTGAAAAACAATGTAAATTTTCAAATCACTTTACAGGGTCTGTAAAATATTTCTGTGGATCCGCAGCACAGTGGTGGAAAATTTACAGTTAAAGTTATGCTAATTTTATTCTGAATACAAACACTGCACTGCTTACTAATGTGGCCGGGATAAGAAAAAAATGGGAAGACAGTGGCAGGAATGAACAAACTTGAACACAATCAAGTGGAAAGATGCTCATTAAGGTTTTATCAGGCCACCAGCAACAATGCCCTAACTTAATAAAAATGGTCTGAGATGATAGCAGGGATATTAACTGAGTCTTTGGTTATGTATCAGGGGTCTAATCTGTCACTGCAATGCACATAGTTCAGTAGGCACGGTCCCAAGGGAGGAAAAGAATACACTTCCAAGTTAATAAATGCAGGAAAGATCAATAGATGGCGCTTGTTTCTACATTTGGCAAGTCACAAATATGTTTTACTTTTAATTAAACCATTAACTATTGCATAACTTAGCCAAATATCATTTAATTAAAACATAATATAATATGCCAAGACCTTATTTCACTATCTGTAGATTAATCACTGGACAGAGCACTCCTAAAGGTAATTCCTATAATCTATAATAATATATAACAATATATAATAATCTATACTCGCTTCAGAGGACGCACTGAATTGGGCCAGTCGCATTTGTGTCGATTTGATTGTAATCTACGTCCTTGTATTTCCTATACCATTTTGTTAAAAGAAAGTGATGGAAAGAATTCATATCTTAGAAGCTGGTCAGGTTTGCTTTGGAACGAACCATCGCGGTTGGTGATGGTGGGGGCGGGGAGGGATTTCATCAGCTTCAGAATACAGACAACAGGCTGGAAACAAACAACCAAGACAATGACAGGTGCAGCCAACTGAATAACAATATCACAGAATAACCCGAGAAAAACGTGAAATTCTCAGCTCAAAATCTATTCTGTACATAAGACGGCAGAGATGCATTTCCACCTGCTAGTTTAAGGCCACTTTTAGCTCACTTTAAACTCTTCACATTTGTCCTTCTTACAAAAACTACTGAATGGCTTTAAAGGTTTCCTGTTCCTTGAACGTGAAAGCAAAAAACAGAAGGAAAATATTCACCATCGCTGAAAATTTAAGAGGTAAAATGACAGTCGGGAGTCATATAGATGCCCTTTGACCCGCATCACTGCTCAGTTTTTTTAGAGCTAAATAGGGTGAAATAGGTGTATTTGTATGCACCTCCTCCCTTCAGCTCGGGGAGGGCAGGAAACAAAAGGAGGTAAGTTTTTGTACTGGTATGAATTCTTCAAAACAAACAAAGCATCTTGGTCCTTGTAGCTCAGACTTCCAGATTTAAATTTCATTCCACGGCGAACAAATTGCAAGTTCTTTATTGGGGGGAAAAAAAAGAACTAGTGTAACTGATAATGATCTTTACATTTCATCGTGCCTTATCACATCAAAACAATGCAGCATACTTTACGGAAACCCTCATGATGCACCCTGACTATATTTGTCAGTGAAGGCAGGAGCAAAGTCTCACAAACTGCCATGATGTGAACAACCATTATTTTCTGGGGAACTGGGGGCCGGACACCTGAGAAACTTTTCTTTTTTGAATAGTGCCACGGAATCTTTAACTGCCACCTGAATATCTGTTTAACGTCTTATCTGAAGGCCCAATTTCCCCGTGGACAGGTGATGGTAGACATCTGAAGACGGGTAAGAAGGAGCAAGGTGGAGGGATTGAGGTAGAGTGCCAAAATTTCAGGGCATCGTAGCTGAAAACATGGCTGCTAATGGTGGAGTGGAGGGGATATGCAGGAGACAAAATATAACCTTGTGGTGTTTGCCTCGTCAAAACCTCAACCTCAACATGGCCATCAGACGATGTTACCTACACATGCAAATAAGCACTTCTGAACAAATAATGGTTCCATTTATACCAGACATACTTCATACTGTGTCATTTAAAATATTTCACAGTGAGTGAGGGAAATGGAGAAACGGGTACTTTACAGACATTTGTAATTCCTTTTAGAATCTAAACGCAGCCTTGAGGAGGATAAAATAAAAGTGACTGAAGTTGTGAAATACACATAATTACGTTTGTTACTTTTGTACAAGATTCACAAAGTTCCATTATGTAGAAATTGCAACGCTGACATACTGCAGGTGTATGTATCCATAGAGAGGTGTTCTGCTGTGATTTAAATTGGCAGAAGCCGCAATTCATTTGAACTACGATCATTGTACTCTGAGGTTGGCGTTCAACCAAAGGCACGTTCCACTGACAGAAGGGAAAGAAGAAAGTGGAAACCAATGTCCTCTGAACCAACTTGCAATTTACTACACGTTTGAATCAGGTTATTGAGTTCTTGTTCATAAAAACAGATTTTTACTTTGATGTCTAAGTCACAAGCGCATATTATCATGCCGGATAATTATCCATAAGGTAGCAGATTTCAGTAACCGGTCATGTACACTGTGTAAATTCATAATTTTATAAAACAAAAATTACAAATCAGAGGATCTTAATCTTTCCAGAAATCCCCTCTCATTTCCAGAAATAGACAAGAATTACTGAAAATAGATCATTGATCCAGTGCTATTTGAAGCATCAAATGTATTTATTTTCCAATTAGTTTTTAATTGTCGTATTTAAATAAGTGTTATCAGCCGAAGAGATAAACAGCATTCTGGATCAAATAGACTTGTATTACGTTTATTCTTCCAGTAGCTGTTATTTAGTTCAAAGGTTAGAGAAAATCTAATTCATATATAAGGATTCAAAACTAACATCTCTATACAGTAAAAGCAATCATTTGGAAAGTCATTCCTTCAATGTATAGAATGGATTGAAAATATCAAAGCTGTTTCTGAGGCAGTTCTGATTTATTGCCTTTACAGTTGTACAGAACTAAAATAAGTCAATTTCCAATTATTTAGCCCGAAATAGCACCAGGATAATCCAGCTCCCATACAGACATAAGTTGAAATGTCTCTTTTCTTGTTTGTCACTTGCACACCTGCAATCTCTTCTGAAGCGTATGCACGGGGATTCAGCTTTACAGCACATTACTCCTACTGCTGTCATATCACCACTTTGTTAGTCAAACATCTTGTTACAATGAAGTAATACTGGAGTCAGGGCAAATCAACTGGAGGAATAACTGCTTCCATTTAAATACATCAATTTGTGGCTTGCATAGTGAACTGGGTTTGATTTGATTTTAAAAAAACATACACTTCTGATTCAATTCAACCAAAGCAGAGAATTTACAGGCTCATATTAAAGAGATATGAAAACAGTCCAAGGAACCTTTAAGTGGATCAAGAATCTGAGGGAACTAGATAGTCTTCTCTCATTTCCACTAACAGAACAGAAGAGCTTTGAGACATCTCACAAATGTGTTAAGGCCCTATATCGTATGCAAGGATGATTATTATTATTATTGGTTGAGAACTGAGCACTGCAGACATAGGAACAGACATTTTCAGTTTAGACAAAGCATCTAGCCAATGTCTCTGACCTTGCCACCTGTACCTTATTTCCCCAAAGACCCCCTTTTTATTAATATCACTTTTCAGCTCTTTTCACAACATCTGGGAAAGTCTCGAGGGGATATTTATTACGTGCACTAATTGTGTTCTGCCGCTCTGTACAAAACACAAAACTTCTCATCACTTGCCTGCCCATACTCTTCTTTCTGTCGCTTGTAAGCCCCTTCCCACCTCCCAAGTCTCACAGCTTGATCTCTTGGGGCAGAAAGAGGTGTCAAATTAACTTGCTGTAATAAAGCATTGCAGACTGAGGTAGCCACAACGCCCCAGTGAAGTTTTAAGAAGGGGTTCTGCACAGTTTTAAAACATTTTCTTCTTCAACTTCAACAAATTTAATGCACAATTTCAGCCAGGATTTTTTTTCTTCCCCTGACAGACAAGTGCCCTGATTTTACAATGCAAACATATGCAACCCTTAAAAAAATGTTTGCAGTTATATAAGGCCCACAAAACACACAGTCGCTCCACTTTATCCTGTGAAAAGCTTTGAGATGTCTCAACGATGTGACGTGGCTCTATATCAAATGGAAAAAATATTATTTATTACTATAATGCCGTGGGATCTTTAATGTCCACCAAAACAAATAAAAGTGACCTCAGTTTATCGTCTCATCTGGAAGACTGGACTGTCATCCTACACTAGGAGTTCAAAGTGGGACTTGTGCACACAGCTTTCTGACATAGAGGTGAGAG